AAGGTCACTGGTTCAAGCCCCAGCTGGGTCAGTTGACATTTCTATGTGGAGTTTGCATGTTCTCCCCATGTTGGTGTGGGTTTCCTCCAGGTGCTCCGGTTTCCCCCACAGTCCAAACACATGCGCTATAGGTGAACTGATCAACTACACTGACCGTAGTGTGTGAATGAGTGTGAATGAGTGTGTGTGTGTGTGTGTACCTGACTCGGGGTGGGGTCTGCTATCTGCAGGTGTGTGTGTGTGTGTGTGTGTGTGTGTGTGTGTGTGTGTGTGGTTTTTCAGCTGTGTTTGAGTGAATTGGGCTGTATTTGTGACAGATCTTTCTTTAAAGTCGACATGACATAAACCCTCTTAAGATCTTAAAAAAGACGTGTGTGTGTGTGTGTGTGTGTGTGTGTGTGTGTGTGTGTGTGTGTGTTTGTGTGTGTTTGTGTGTGACGCACAGATGAAGGACAGACACACACACACACAGGTATATTGACGAATGAAGGCTTCTTGAAGACTCTATTACTGTCTGCTGAGTGTGTGTGAGGAGCAGAACACACAGCTGGCCTCCTCTTACGCAGGATATTATTAAAAACACATATTAATATCCTGCTATTCATAGACAGACGGCAGATGTGGAGGGCACTGGAGTGTGTGTTTGTGCAGAAAAGCACTGAGTTATAAAAGACAAGGCTCGTCTCCTGCTCTGGACTCATCGTGAGCGTCAGCAGCAGACTGGATGTGCAGTGTTTGACCAGGACTGCTCACCAGTTCAGCTCTGTTTAATCTGGACTCGGCTTTCAGAACATGTAAAGTTAAATATGTTTAACACATCTGGGTATTCATTGCTTATTTTATTTGAAGTCATGACATTTATTGCATTACATTTTTTGTTAAATTATCTCCTGTCAGGAATACTGGATGCTGATTGGTCAATCGCGACATTCAATAACAAGTGTTATTCCCAGATAACCCCCGCTGAATAACACACACTCATCTAGGAGCTGAGAATCCCCGTCACTGAATATCTTCATCCATATACTCACACACACGTGCACACACACACACACACACACACACACACACACACACACACACACACACACACACACTGCGCTATTTGACTGTTTGTCTCCATCTAGTGTCTGAATAATGCGCAGGTTAGTGTATACTTCATTCTGGTTTCTGTCTGCTTTGCTTTTATTTAAAGGTTTAATAAACTATACTGCCTCAGAACAAAGTTTATTAAAGTTTTGTGTCTATTTTTTTCTTCGTGTGGCCAGCAGCAGTGTAATAATCAGGATAAAGTACATCCAGGAGGTGTTATAGCAGATTATTACACGGCTTTCTGGAATACTGGAGTCTGATTGGTCAGTCGTGACATTCCAAGATGTGTTACATCACCACTGCTGAATAACACACACTATTGTGGGAACTGTTTGCTGTGTTCTGACGTCTGACAGGTTGATCAGCAGCTGATGTGAGACTGGGGTGGGGTGGAGGGGTTATTCTGAGAAAACAACCTGCTGGATGTGCTTTATCCTGATTATAACACGGCTGCTGGACACAACATGTACACATTAGACACACAACACTGCTCAGGGCTGTAATAGTTCATTAACTCTTAAACA